CTACGTCGCGATGATCGCGCAAGCGCGTACGCATTTCGCACCGCCGCGTAGGAAGCACTCACGTCGTCGCCCAGCGTCGCACGAATTCGCGACGACTCTGCAAGTCGTTGACGCCATGGACGTTCGGCCCGTGGTGTGCTGAAAGTAGGTGAACTCAAGGCTTAAAAGTTCTCACTTCTCCTACCAGCTTACTGCCTTTAGAAATCGTGAAATATACTTTGGGTGCGCTACAGCGAACTTTGCAGACAAAGTTACGGTATTTTTCTAAAGGTCACTGGTAAAATACGCTGCAACGTATCAAAACATTATTTCACGTCTTTCCTTAATTGTAAACCCGTCCAACGATTTATTAAGCATTATTATATGATGGAAGCGCTCATAGCAAAAAGAACTACAAAATTGTAACTACGTTGAATTGTTGTCTTACTGTGGTTGTGGTGTTGGTGATGGAGAAAGGAGGCTATTTCGGTCGGAATATCGTGATATTGTAGATGCTATTGATCTAGTTGGTGTTACCGACGATGATTGAGGATAATCTGAAATCATTGACACCATTGATGTCAGGCATTAGTCAAGCAAAAATTCTTTATTTGATCAAAGCGCCCATTTAGAATTTTAAGGAAAAGCCGGACTCACTGGAATTGGGCGCCTTCTTCTGATTTCAACTTTCATTTATTTCTAATATTTGAATATATTCTATCTTTCTTATATGAGAATTTTAGAAAACATGACTTACATTACCAGCGAAAAACCAGAAAGCAAAGACGTCAACAATAAGACCAGATTAGAAAAAAAAGATGTTATAGACTAATAAATTGAAGAGCAAATTATATGATTAAGAAAATTAAACATCAACAATCATCAAGCGGATATCTAATACTTCTGCTCACAAAAGCTTTAAACCTTCAAATTTCAATATGCGGATGACAGCAAAACTATTTTCTTTCCCAAAAACTCTTATTCCTGCACAAACAAAAAAGCAAAAAGAAACTTGACTTACGATACTCATTTGCTTTGTTTAAATATCCATTAGCGGCCACATTTTCCTTTGGTTTTGGTGAAAAATTATCACCTAAAAATAATGATTCGTTCTAGAATGCTAAGATGAAAGGGATTATAATGGCAGAGGTGCATGATATGTTATTCAGTTGGACTTCCACCGTAGCCCGCACACGACGTGGCACAAACGTAGTTAAAAGCTTTCATCATTGTTATATTTACCATTCTCAAATAATTCATCGCAATGATCCTAGATATAGATAGTCTTTTATGTCTTACGGTGGAAATCCATCTGAAATTGGATATTTGGCATAATTTTCTTATGGTTACAGTACTTTTGTAGTTTCTATTCTAGCCTAGCGCATGTGTATACTAATATCAGTTTTGCTAGTGTTAATACGAATTCTATGACTACTAAATATTTTAAAACAAAACCGTTCAGCTAACCATATAGCTTTCGTGTTGTGAAGTGAAGTGAGTAGTAGCCTGAAGTGGGCAGCAAATATGTATATAACTAGTATTTTATAAATTAATTAAGCATACTGTTATTGCGCGGAGACCTTGGCTGACTTAACGCATTTTTAGAAAAAATACGATCTGAAATTATAAATTAAAGTGAGTACTGCTACTTCTAAATTAATACAGAAAGGTACTATTATTAATGTATGCATGCAAATTAACTTAAGTTTTTTTATATGCTTCCGTATGAATTAGTTCTAATTTTCTGTTGTTAAGAGACTGAGAGGCACTTTTTCCAACAAATCTAATTTGAATCTCACCACCATTCCTTTCTCGACTCGTCCATTTATTAAGAATTTCACGTGCTTCATTCCGATATTTGCTCGCACTGTCGCGCGTTGTGGTGTCGAATCGCGACGCCCGCGCTGTCACCGATGGCCCAAGACTGAGATGATTGTGCATTGGGATATGCCATAGAGCTCGAACACTCCTTTAGGATAACTCGGACGAGTTCTGTCGTCACGTCACTCACCTGGCTACCTTAGCAGCTTCGGTGCTTGCATTTGAATAACGTGAAGCGGCAGTGGTGCGAGCTGCGGATGAGGTTGTCGTGGAGGGCGTGTAAAAGGGTTTTGGCTTACTCGGTTCAAATCGCGACGCGATCGCTGCTGACTGGCTTCGATAACCCGCAGTTGAAGGCTTATTCCAGCGTACTGAGTTCCAGCTTCAAAGGAAATTTGAAGAAATCCAGACGTTTTCCAGAAAATGGAGTTAAATGTGCCAATTAGGGATTTGTAGCAACTACCTTGTCCCGTATGTGCTCGGCTCAATTGTGCTCGCGAGGGTTTGTGAAGTTGGCGTTGTTCTTCCCGCAGTGTTCGCTGACCATCTTCTGTAGACAGAAAT